TTCTTTTATTTAATCTAAATTTGTGTTATTTAAAGTGATTATTTGATATACTGTATTATACTGTATTTTATAAAACCAATCACGTTTTTAAGACCGAAGTTTCCTTCCTACCTGGACAGGTACACTGCTATATTTTTGTGAGGTACAATACCAAATAATTATTCCACACTGTACAGTATACCTATGACTTACATGTGGTAAGATTTAAGTCTTTTTTCTATTCACCAAGTCTGGCCTAGAATCGGGCATTCTTGCTGCTTGCTTGGCCTATAATGCTATCTGTTCTTTCAGCTATCACAGCACCTAGGTAACTCCAGGAGCAGCTTATCAATTTCTTTGTTTAGTGCTTATGATTGTTATTCCAACAATATTTCAAATATTTGCTTGCAGGAAGTTGAACAGTCATGGACCTTCGATACTCATACGTTTTACAATTGTGCCTATGGTATGAGGTATGAATGACTCGATAGAAATCTGAATTAGGAATTCCTTTATGGGAGATGGGACAGGCATGACTGGCTTTTTTTTTTTTTAGCAGTGGTGCCCACAAGCTCATTCGAGGTAACACCAACATAACTGAATTTTGCTGGGTACCTAGCTACGTTAAATCTGTTAAAAATGAGAATGAGAGACAGCCAGCATTGGATTTAAACACCACAGAATGGGATAAGCAGCAGCTAGTGGATAACATACAAAATTGCATATAGGTATGCCATGAAAATGCAAGTCTCGGGAAGGGGGGGGGGAGGAAAGGCATTACATATGGGTTCAATCAAGAAAAACTAGGTATGCAACAGCATAGGCAGACTGATCCTTTGTAACAGAGCAGTAGTGCATGAATAGCAGGACAAATTTGCAAGGATAAAAGTATTTCAGAACAGAATGAGGGGTATAAGCATTCAATGAGCAGCTCAGGGACTAGCCAAATTTCACTAGTGGGATCCCCCAAGAAGGCAAGGTAGGAACAATTCATGGAAAAATATTGCTTCACTAGATGTTAGACCATGTCAAACTGTACACTGTACAACATTTCACCAGATGTAAGGATGAGTCTGTCCACTAGAGGTATCTGGGGTACAGAAAAGCCATGTTATGAAAAATTATTTAAGCACTTTTTGGATTTTTTTTTTAATTTTATTGTTATCTGCATAGGCCTTGCTATAATTGTATTTATATTTTTTCACAAGTGTGTAGTTCTAATATCTAAAAAAATATTAAGATCTGGTACGGAGTATGGATCTTTTGACAGTATCCAAGTATCAGTATTTATCACAAGAAGATACTAGTCAAAATATTGGTATTATGCTATTTCTCTATTTAGAACATTTTTTATTTAATTTATTTGGTAAAATAATGTGGAAGAGTTGATGTCACTAGGAAAGAGAAGCAGAACAGTTGAGAGGGATGGTTAATGATGGTGCCAAGTGAGGAAGTTTGCCAGCAGACAATGCAATACAACCCACACCCACCACCACCCACACTGTTACATAATGCAAATTTCGTGTTATTTATAACTGCAGGCATTACAAAACTATGTATTGTTTGCTTTACATTATTAATGATAAAAAGCAACATTGGGGGATGGGTTGATTATGTGAAAATATTAAAAGCAGCAGCTGTAAAAGGGGGAATTTTGGGTAGCTGTAACAACTTTGGTTCCTTGCACACACTACTGAACAAGGGCTAAACAAACATGTAAAGAGCTACAAGAAATTTATTGATAAGTGTGTACAAGCCCAAACAGGAAAGGTGATTTACTCAGTATTGTCAGAAAAACTAGACTGGCATATTTTCAAGACTTTCTGGTCGGCCTCCTTTAATCTAACTATATTGCAGGACCACAAATAACACTACAGTGCAGTACAATACTTCCCCCTTCCTCTCAATCAGATGAGGTAGCATAGACCAGGAATTAGGCAGGATGGTACTGTGTGTCCTGGGTATGCTGTGAAAGCCTCCATGTCAACACCACCTATCCCTGTCATCATCATGTGTCAAAGGGCTCAAATCTGGAGACAACTTTTAGGTGGGGGTAAAATGAACAGCAGGTAATTCTGCGGGAGGGCTTTCCCTTGGTGGTGGAGGCCAAGTTGGAATGTGATGCTATGGGTAAAAGAACGTGGGGAGCAGCAGCAGAGACAGACAGGGCTGGAATGGCATCAAAATGTGTTACCTTTACACGATTGACACGATTGAGAAAACCACTCTCGTATACCACCCCTTCCGTGAAGGTATGGTGTCAGGAAGACCTGTTTGCCAGAAATGTGTAGGTTGGACCAAATACAAGGTCAGGGGCTGAGAACTTGCCATCTAGTTTACTTGCCGAACGGATACCAAGGACCAAAAGAAGGTCGTCAATCCAAGTGGATGGGTCTGGCTGTGCCACCAGCGTTGATGGTGAAACGATTCAACGATCATGTCAGTCTGAGGATGATAGGATGTGGTGTGGTTTGTGTGGTTCCCAGGAACTGCAGCAGTTTCTGCCGTAAGTGTGATTCAAGTTGTAACAAATGATTTTTACAGGTATTAATAAATTAACATACAGAGTTGAATCTAGCACGACAGGAAACTGGCATCAGGGAGTCTATCACTAGACACTGTAAATTCACACCTTTAGTGTGCTAAGTTGTACCATGATCCAGTAAGTCAGGTTTTGTGGGCTATATCTAATGACCAGATACAACTAGGCAAGTACAACTAGACGAGTAGTAAAACTGCTAATTGTATAACTTTTGTGGGGTTGCATCCTGAGGAAGGTCAGTAAGTAAGTAATTATCAAAAGAAGGCACCAAACCGGGAAGGCTATGTAGCACCATCAAATACGCAAAATAATCAGAGGTGGAAGGTCAGTAATTCAACCCTGGAGTGACCTTGATTTAAGCCTAATATACATATATACACTGACTGCCTATCCCCTGACACAGTAGATTATTATTATTATTATTAATCATTATTAATAAAATTGTATGCCTGTGTGTAATTACGTACATTACACTTTATGCACATTGTTATAAGTGTACTTACAACTCTACTTAGTTTTTATGAAAGACCAATAGATTCTACAGGAAAGATATGACTGGTTTGACTATCTGGACCAAAAAGAGGTTTTTAACAGTCCCACACAAGCAGTTGTTTTGGAAACTGGAACACGCTGGATGGGAGACAGGGAAACTTCTGACATGGATGAAAAATTTTCTAACTGGCAAAGATGAGGGCAGTAATTGGAGGCAATGGTTCTGACTGGATGAGTCACTAGTGGAGTCCCGTAGGGTTCACTTCTTGCACCAGTAATGTTCAACATCTACATAAACAATCTACCAGAAGAAATAGAGAATAATATGAACATGTTTGTGGATGATGCTAACATATTGGGGAATATAGGAGACAGACGATTGTCATGCCCTTCAAATTGATCTAGCTAAAGTAAGTGCTTGGATGTGGCAAGTGGAATTCAATATGAATAATGCCATGTTATGGAATGTGAAATCTGAGAAAATAGACCACACACAAATTATGTGGAAAGGAATTAAATAACTAACAAAGAAAGAGATCTAGGCATGGTTTTGGATAGCAAACTGTCACCAGATGAACACACAGAACATTGTGTGAAGAGCGTCACTTTCTAACTTCAGACTCGTTATTTATTAATTGGATGGTGAAATACTGAAGAAACTATTCATGACTTTTCTGAGACCAAAATTTGAACATGTAGCAGTTGTATGGTGCCCATATCTCAAGAAGCACATAAATAAACTGGAATAGGTGCAAAGGCATACTATAAAAGGGATTCCAGAACTGAAAAAAAATTAATTACAAGGAGACTTGAGGCTTCAAATATGCCAAACCTAGAAGATAAAAGAAAAAGAGATGATATGATCTCCACTTACAAAATAATAACAGTAATCTACAAATTAACAGAGGAATTCTTGAAACCAGCAACTTCAAGAACAAGAGGACACAGATTCAAGCTCGGGAAACAAAGGTGCCAAATAAATATTGTTTTCTTTTGCAAACAGAGTGGTAGATGGTTGGAACAAGTTAAGTGAGAAAGTTGTGGAGGCCAAAATTGGCGATAGTTTCAAAGCATTACATACACTACAAAGAATACTGGGAAGATGCGACACTACGAGCATAGCTCTCATCCCAAATGTAAATAGGCAGGTTAACTATTCTTGAGATTCATAACAAAATCATGAAACTTTCCAGGATACTGTTTCTAAATGACACTACAGTACTGGGCATATTTTCTGGCCTCAGGACACGAGAACTGAAAATTCAGTACGCTGTTCAAGTAATTAAACCCATCCATCTGTAGGCATTATAATAGTTCTAAATGCCCCCACCGGTGGTTGTGATGTTGCAAACAACAGTACCCTAAGCATCCATAGGCATTAGAGCAAGTGTTTAAATACAGTATTTTGATGCAGCTTTTGTTAGTTAATTTCCAAAAGTCACTCAAGGTATGCCTGCACCTCCTTTTTGTTAATATGGTTCTATAATTAATCTGCTACTAGTGGGGATACATAACCCAATAACAAAAGATATCCTGCTTGTATATTATTGTGATATTCACGTGTCAAATGTTTCAAGCAAATATGTAAACGCATTCTCAAGACACTGCAACATAATGACAACAATTTTTCCCATTTTCCCATTACATACCACTATAATGGATGATTAATAAATTCTGAAATTAACTTACAGTATTTCATTTTATGCACTGTAATGCCATAATTTATAAGAATTTAAAATAAAATTACTCTATATGACAATTAACAATTATTTACTTTGTTAACAGTGACAGTAATGAAGCTTTATCATCAAAATATTAAATAATTGAGAAACATTTATATAACAGAGTAACTATATGCTTTATATGTAAATTACTTGCATGAGAAATACACTAACAATACAATTTAACAAAAATTAACTGTAGTCGGTAACAATAATACTTCACCTGTTGAGCATCACCTTCAATACATGATATAATTTCCACTTACCCATGAATAAAATATTTGCTCAAGAAAAAAGCAGCTTAATAAAATCCTCACCTCCAGGACCTCCTTTGTAATAGGTGTCCTCTCCAGCTTGCTGATGAGGTCCAGGCAGGCTGCCATATCTGTGACCTGCAAGTATTTTCAGTCATTAGTTTCTTCACCAGCATGCAATAACCATACCTTGGATTTCAGCTATATAATAATCTGCATTATCATAACATTTTCAGTAAAGAAGACATTGAACAAAGATGATGAATCAATGAGAAAATCAGGAGACATGAAGAGGATTCTTCGGAGTTCCCAGAGCAGATTCAAATCCTCCTCACAGTAATAACCGATTTTCTCAAAGAAGATATTCTTAAGTACCTGCTTGTTATTCCAACTAACTG